ATACTAAAATTGAATGGGCTATAAAACTGCATACTGGAAAAAAATTTAAAATTTTGATGAAAATTCGTTGAATTTTCCTTAATTTTGTATAAAGCATGATCCATAAAAAAAAAAAAATTTAGCATTAAAAATTTTGTGAATATTTAAAACGACATGGTGTATCTAGACTTTTGCTGTTAACTGTATCTATCTAATACTCTCCGTCTTCTGTTATTATTTTTTTGGTATTTTCAGGTACTTAAACTCACTCCGATATTCTCATGTGCTAAAGGTGAAGTGTGCCAACTGGCACGTCATTCATTCATTCGGTTTTTGTTCATGTTTTTCTAGAATATTCGCACCGGCTGTGTCAGATTTTTATTTCTTTTGTTTAAGCGCTTTCAGGTTTATTTACCAGTTATGGTAACCAACTATTTAGAGAGTGCGCGTTGTAGAGATTGTTTATGCAAAAGCATAAAATTTCAATATTTAAACTGAAATTGCAGCGGATTGATTTGTGTTTGTATGCTCTTTATGTACCATTTTTATTGTTTATTGGGCAGGTGATTAGATTACATTACTCAGTGATTTTATTATAAGTACATAGGTACCTACATGTGATTGTGTCCGCGTTTGTTAATAATAGTTTATTTAAAGCATTTCAAATGACGTGCTTGCTTACATACTCGTACTTAACATATGTATGTATGTATGAGTTTCTTAATTTAAATTGAAACTGCTCTGAATAAATCATCTTTTTATTGCCCCAAATACAAGTCATTATTTTTTTTTTTGTATTTTTTCAAGTTGTATGCAAATTGCGTCATAATTGTTGATTATAGTTAGTGATGTGCTGGGTCGATACCTTTAAGTATTCAGCCTCATTGCGAGAGTCGTGCCGAATGCAAGTCGTTTTTCGAGAGTCGAATCGTATCGAAAATTTAGCGTCATTGCCTAAAATTTCCACTCGTCTAGTGTATTAAAACGGAAGAACTTGGCAGCACTGCATAGTTTTCGACAATTTTCGTCGTTTACTTATTTCAGCACGACAGTAGACAATGCTAATGTTGTCGAGTCGTACAATTCAGCCTAATTTACGACTTACGCAATGAGGCTGATTGATAAATACTCGTTGCCGATTTGAAAAGTATCCAATACATTCGATACTCGGTAACGATATGTTGAAATTTCTAATAAGAGCGAACAATAGCCAAAAATATGGAATCAAACCGGTTCAGGGGAGCCTCGCTTATGGGGCTAATTGAGCCTATAATTGTGAATAAAATAGTAAATGCGTGTTTGTATATATATTTTCCACATAGGTTTTATGGCAATGGTGCGATAAGACACCGTAATGGGGATTTTCTTACAGAGGTTGCTCTAAATTTCTCGTTCCCTTGTTCCAAAAATATATCCAACCAGAATTTAGAGAGTACACATTAGCTTTGAACATACGCCGTCATAATGCAAATAGTAATCAATGTTCTTTGATGAGAGAAATATCATAGGCATAACGAGCTAGAAAAAAACCTAATAATGTTCTCACGAAAACTTTTTTAGTTGGTAAGACTGTTGCGATAAGTACAAGAAGGCGTTGTTGATAACGGCAATATTGCTGAGATACGCTTGGCGTACTTGTTCACCGCACGCGTTATGCTTGATTCACTCAAATCCACATTGGTAATTTTTTGAGAAAAGTATCATCTTATTTGTACCTTTTGTGTTCTTTAGGCGAAATAATTTTTTCCAAATTTTATTGAATCGGTATCGGGTACCGAAACTTCTTTAAAGTATTGGGTACCGACAATTCAGCACATCACTAATTGTATTGACAGTGGTTTAAAATTTCATTAAGAGTAAAACGTAATTTCTGATAAGTATGTAGTGAACATAAATTACTCACTTGCACCTTTTTTATCTCAGCAAGAAATGCTTGCGTTTGTGCACATACATACTTACACAATAAATTTAGGTTCAAAAATGCGGTGGTCGCTGAAGAAATGAAGCTTTTGTTTCGTTTTCCTCGTTTTAGCGGTGTTGTCATACAATTTTCTGGCCTTACTTCGCTGACCAATTCAAGAGAAAGGTTCTGGCATACATATCTGACAGATGTTAAAAGGATGTTATTTGTCCTTGTTTCTAGAAAGTGTTCGCTGTTTCCACTATTTGAAATTTGAACTAAACTGTTCCATATTGTGACATAGTCCCAGACTACCCTAATTTTATCTTATAAACGACTTCGAACAAATTCAAGGGAATAAGATTCATTGATCAAAATACTTGCGCGTAACAAAATCGAATGAATCCATGATCGCAAGAATCGAAAAAAGCAATTTTTTTTTTAAGGTTCATTACATTAAAGGTTGTATAGTTTTCACCTCCAAAAAGGAAAAAAAACTTAAAACCTAATTTTTAAAGTAATTCTAAGGGTCTAGGTAATTTTTTTTTATCCAACGAGCATATTTTTTCTTCATCTCAATATCTTTAAGATAATGCTACTTTCATTTCGCTATCTATTCTCGTTCTCGACTTATGTATGTATTAAGTCTTTGTCACAAAAAAAGTAAATTTTTCGAACTGTTGCCGAGAATGGCGTCAGTGGAGGAAACTTAATTATTGCCCTACATACATAAAATATGTATGCTAAGTGCTTGAATGAAAGCAATGTACCTATTATTTTCACAAAATCACAATTAGTGATGTGCATAAATATGTATATGTGAATATGTTGTTCTAAAAATAGATAATAAAATACACATTCGGAATCAAGCTCGTCTTTCGCTTAATAAAACCGTAAAAAGTAACATTAAAGAACACGTGAATTTATCAGCTGATTAACGCGTTGTTGCTAACTGCTTGTCGTAGGGTTTTTATCACATGCAAATATTTTTAGCCCATCGTGATTTTATTTATCACTTGCTTACTGCTTGTGTTCTCGTTGTTAATTTAAAAGCACTCAATTTGAATCAAATACTTTACCACGGAATAATTATTATTATTTTTATTTATTTAGCAATGCTGTCTTTTAATCTAATTACGAAACCGATCAATTTGGAGCATTTCGACCAGCAATTTGTCTAAATGAGGCGCGTGCCTACAATTTAATGATTTGTATGTACTATGTAAATGTATACGTAAATATACATACACATGCACATACATATGTATGTTATTCTCAATCACTAGGACACGCTTAAAGCACTCAATTAGCACAAAAAAAGGTATCAACTATCGTCGTTCCTACTTTCTTTAAACTACCTAAAAGTCTATAACAGTCTTATTTATTGTTAAAATATTGTTGTAAGTATTAACTTGGAGTAAATGAACCTTCTGTTATTATTATATCGGAGTTTTCGTATATCCGAAAATTACCGTTACACGGGAAGCCGTTGCAGTTTTCGTCCGATTTGAATAATTTTCAACGAATTACTTTTTCGTACCAAGGGTATTAAATGCACCGAGTTTGTTAGAAATTGATAAATCGGTTACCGAGATACACATTTTTGGTCATAATTATTTAATTTTCTGCTCAGTGGTCATTGAAATAATCGATTTTGAGTCAATTAGCTTCAGTAGTTTCGTGTTTCTGTAAAATGCCGTCATATGACGGGAGGTGGGCGTGGTTATTGCCCGATTTCAAAGATTTCCAACAGATTTCTTAGCTTTATCCTAAGCACGGCTCGTAGCGAGTTTGGTAAGGATTGGTGATGCGGCTGCTAATATACAGTATTTTATCGTGAGTGGGCGGCGTCACGCCTCTTTTCCAAAAATTTCATAATAATATTATTTTGCACCGAAATTCTACTTCACGTGCTGATTTTGAAGAGTTTGGACCCAATATTTACTGAAATATCTAAGTTTTTGGTCGCGTGATTTGGGGCGTGGTTACCTTCCGATTTCGCCCGTTTTCAATAGAAACCTACCTTGAAGGGCAACCTATGTATAGGTATACTAAATTTCGTCGAGATATATAAATTTTTACTGGAGTTATCGTGTACACGGATAGGCGGACGGACGGACGGACAGGCAGACATGGCTTAATCGACTTATCTTTTCATTTTGATCATGTATGTATACATTTGTCTATATCTATCCGATTGCTTTAGGCTGTTACAAACAACAAAGTTATAATACCCTGTGCACAAGTGCGCTACATATATTTTTTATTGCACTTAAAAGTTAATTAACTAAATAGAAATCTAACTTAAAGCCTTTAAGCAGAAGTTCAATATCTGAAGTCTTAAAAATAATTAATTTGCTTGCACTTATGCATAAATAAAAATTGTATCATCTCTTAAAATCGACAACGTCACGTGGCCGTCCATATCTAAACCTTGACTATCAGTATTTAACAATAATTATCTAATCTCCATGTATTGTTGTTTATTAGGCATCAGCGTCATAGGATGAGTGTACAAATTTTGTTTATATGTATGTATGTATATCATTAAAACTTGGCTTTATTACAAATATATGTACATACATATGTATGTATGTATACTAATTAGGTAAATTTTCACTTTCATTTTTTTTTCCACTGAAAACGTGTTTGTCTCACTGCAATTGCTAATTAAATATCCGCGCTTCCTACCTGGAATACAGGTATTTATGTAAGCCTTACATCTAAATTATCTGCACCGCTGACGAGAATACGTTTAGCAATGCATATGTATGTATGTACATACATACGTATTTGAGTTAAATACATATACACTTGTTGTTCATTGGCCCCAGCATTTAATCTGACCTAAAAAACTGTTCAAGCCTTCGTAAAAAACTTAAACACCTACATATATATTTAAGTACATACATACATATTTAGCAGTACACAACACGATTGCAATGTATCAGTATGCTGAGCCCTATTTTACCCGCTCAACGCCCCAAAACCGCGCCACAAATTGTCGTAGGTACGACTAGTTCATACAAACCCACTTTTTACCTATGCACATAAGTACTTACATACATATGTACATACATACACACATATTTCACCAATTGTCCTTCGTTCGTTTACTCACCTTTTGCCGTTTTGCACAGGACAATGCCGAACCATGACGTCATTGGTGTTTCGTTTTCATCCTGCGCTCGCAGTGGCAGCTGCAGCGCCACCTCATCCTCATCGTCATTGTCATCGTCCACATCATATTCGTCGACACCACTGCCACCGCTGCCGCTGCTATTGCTGCGCATAGTACGTTTATTAGTTGTACTGTTGTTGGTGTTTGCGCTGCGCACTTCGACAATGAAGCCACATTCGACGACAGCACAGAAAATACGTTGCTCATCGCGTTTGAACCACTTGGATTCGCGCAGCTTTTGCACTGCAACCGAACTGCCAAAAGTCGCAGTTTTACTGTGTAAATGCGCCAATAAACTTAAACCGCTGGCCGTACTGGCGCCACCGCCGACAACACCACCGCCACCGCCGCCGCCGCCACCGCCTCCTCCTGTGCCACCGCTGCCATTTGCCGATGCTGCTGCATTGTTCGACTGATGGTTGTGACCCTGGAGTGGCCACCACTTGAGCGCATTCACAAAACTATGTGAGCGATTTAGATTTGTGGTTGTTGCACTTGTCATTTTAAGGCTGTTGTTGTCGTCGTCGGTATGGACTCTGTTTGTATCACTGTTACTATCACCGTTGTTGCGTTGCTTTGCTGTAAATATTGAACCAATTTTATGGTCAGTGCCGTGTGGCGTATGGGTAGCTAAGCGAATACAATTTGCAGCACCAATTTTGCCCTCGAGAAATGCAATTGGTGTACAGGAAAAAATTTATTTCGCTTTTTTACTTGTTGTTGTTGTAATTTTTCAAATGTATTCAGTACGTGAAGTGCGGGTACGCTTTTGTGACTTTCACTATGTGTATTTGCTTCTGTTTCGCCGTTAAAAATTTTCACTTAAGGTTTTCACAAATTTTCTATGGCTGAAAATTGCAATTCGTTGCGTGCCTCACGCAACTTTTTCGCGTTTAGCTACTTTTTTACTTGACTACTTTTGGCAAAAGTTTGATTTTTATTCGTGTTTTCTTGCTTTTAGTTAATATGTGTGGTGTTATAACCAACAAAAAAATGTTGTTCCTGTGATTATTGTAGCACTAAAATGCTCTTTGGTTGTTTCATTCGCAGTGGGTGCGGTTTAAATAGAAAAAATGCTTTGATTGATATTAAAAGATTTGTTCTTTTTCAAATATCTGCAGATAATGATATATTTTTCTTTAACAAATTTCACAAGTTGTTGAAAAATTCTCAGTTTTACTCGTAAGTTTTCGCAAAATCGAACAGTTGCGCTAAATCCCAATTTACTTCTGCTCTGCAAGAGACCTTAAAGGCGAATACCAGCTATTCGCACTGAATGTGTTTATTTAAAGCCGGTTTCACTCGCTCACTCTTGGCGCTACAATGCATGTGCGCTACGAGAAACGCGTCTGGCCGATGGTGGCAGTTGATTCTCTTATCTCAATGGGGCCCCCCAAAATACTTAGCTCCATACTTTGTAGTTAAATATGTATATTAATGTAGGTGCTCATGTATACATATCAGCATTCAAGTGTGGTGAATACATTTTGCTTCGCTCGTGACTACTTACTCAACTTACTCTTTTTAATCGAATTTTTTCTTCAGAAAACAGAAAACGTGAAAAAAATATGGGAGATATGAAAAAATGTGATTATCTGGTGCGAGGTGAAGAGAGAAGAAAATTTTTCTCTGTCTTGTATTTCTTTTTTTGTATTTTAATAATAATGAATGTACATATGTAGCATTCGTGCAGCTAGCACTGTTGCCAACATAGTGCTTTTCTTAATTCAGAACTCGAAAATTTTTGATTTTGGTGCTTTGTGCGTTTTTGGTGCTTTTTTTTAGTTTGAAGACAACAAAACTGTAAATCTGAAATAAAAATGGAAGTTAAATTTAGAGCAATTGGAAGTCTCATAAGGAACTTTACAAAAATGGAGACAAAATCATGGCACAATGACAATCATAAGCGAAAGAGCATATGTTTGTCAAAAAAATATGTGGCAGCATTTTCAATCGCCAGTTTCACATACGCTAATTTGCCATTGCCTACAAAAACGTCCATGTTGCTAGACCTTTAGTTTGGGCTGAATTTGTTATATTTTTACGAATATTAAAAAAGCGCCAGCATCTCCTAACAGTAAAATGAATAACGAATCTCTTTTAAAAAAGGAACGAAAGTTCTTTACATTGCTTTAGTTAACGAGATCATAAGAGTATACAGTGTAGATTTAAACTTCCAAATAGTTCATGAAACTTAATTTCTTGTTGTTACTTTCATTTGATAGGAATTGTAGAAAAAATTAAGCAAAACGAAGAAAAATTAATATTTAAACAGCGCAAATCTAAGCCAAACGGCAACGCTGGACACAGCTGCAAATTAGAAAACAAGAACAAAAATGTTAACGTTGCGTCGTTTGGACGAAAATATTTGAATTTATAGAAAACAAAAAAAAAACACTAATTTTTGTAAATTTGAATCGGCACACCTACGATAAAATTTTTATGAATACAAGTGGTTTTAGTGCTTTTTCAAATTCGAAACTTGGCAACACTGCCAACTAGTCGCATACCATAAAAATGTTGGTGTGACACAAAAGGTGTTAATTATGAATTTTTCTTTAATAAGCTTTTAATATCAAATGCAATCCAACTTCCATACATATACAGTATCGGTCAAATCTATAGCACGCCATTTCAAAGTGATATTGTGTGCAACTTATGTTTATTTATTTATTTTTGAGAATTTTCAATTAAAATACAGTTCTTTCTCTAACAAACCCCATATAAACCCAAGTTTAACAATTTGTAGAAAACTTCAAAAAGTGCAACAAATTTTCACCTAAATTTCAAACTTATTTATCGGAAGTGTTTGAATTTTTCTGAATACACAGTTTTATAGCCCAATCAATTTTAGTCTGATAATGTGCAAGTTTCAAGTGACTGAAAGTTATCGTTGATTTTTTAGAATTTTTTTTCGCCAAAGGTGTTGCGGTTTTCATCCATATACAAATAAATTGAGTTGATTCATTATATGAAATGTGACAAAAAAAATTCTAAAAAATTAACGGTAATTCGTAGCCACTTGAAATTTGCACATTATCAGACTAAAATTGCAGTGGCTAAAAAACTGTGTACTCAAAAAAAACACTTCCGAGAAAAACGTTTGAAAATTTGTTGCCATTTTTTGAAGCTTTCTACAAATTGTTAAACTTGGGTTTATATGGGGTTTGTTAGAGAAAGAACTGTATTTTAATTGAAAATTCTTAAAAATAAATAAATAAGCATAAGTGGCACACAATATCACTTTGAAATGGCGTGCTATAGATATGACCGATACTGTACATATATGTATGTACATATGTTTGTATATTGTTTCTTACCGTAATTTTAATAAAATGTTTGTATATATGATACGTATAAAATTGCGTACATTTTTTGATGTGCTAAATTGCGTTGCTTGGTAAAATGTGATAAATTATCTATACAAAAGTTATAAAGTAAAACATTTTCTATTTAACAAAAAAAGTAAAAAATTTAGAGGCCCATAAATTCTACTACTAATCTAGTGCTTTTTTTGTATCTCAAGGCGAATTCACGCATATGATAGCAGCAGTGCTCAACCTCCCAGGTTCTGTCATGAATCATCGTCTTCACCCTCCTGCTCCGGGACCCTGCCCACATGCGGGAAAAGTGTTTGCCACCTCTGTGCCGAGAGAGGTAGCTGTTAAGACGGTGGCACCACCCAGAACGGAGTTTTGCCAGGGTGTATCTGGTCTCTCTCTTGGCAGTTCCGTTTCCTCTATATTTATGGGAGGTGGTCGACCGCCATTTTTGCAAATAAAAACATTTTTTTTTTATCTTTGCAAATATCCCGAAAACGTGCAATTTTAATAAAAATTAATTACCTATTAACAAAATATAGTAAGCTCAATAAAGGTACCACTTGTTTTTATCGTTGAAGAATTTTTTAGGGAAAACTATTTTTCTGTTATAAAAAAACCGTTACCTATAAAAACAAATAAATTAAAAAAAAAACAGCTCCTTAAATCTCTTACAAATTAAATTATCCTTCCATTGAAAGAAAAATTGAAAATCCGTCAAGAGTTGTAGGCTGTAGACCTATTAGAATAGTGAATTTCGTGTTTGCACTACTGTGCTTGGTGTTAGGGTAACGTACATAGACTGAAACTCCAATCTTCGGGCATGTCTGCATCTGACCAAAATACGCTTAACAGCTGATATGAGTGAATCCTCTCAACCAGCTCCTAAACACTCAGCCGGTATGCCTATGGTCACCAAAGTAAAATAAAGGAAATTTTTTTCAAAATGTAAATGTGTAAAAAAAGTACTTTACCCATATCGTAATTTAAATCAAACATTTACTAGTACATTATATTATCTAATTGTACAAGTTTCCCCTATTTAAAGACGCTGTAAACGGGGTTTTAACCGATTCCGAAAAATTTAACCCAATCCTTATCAAGGACTACGCCATCCCTTGGTGCCAATAATTCATAATTCATACTACACGACGAAGCCAGCACACAGTGGTTTAAAATTGGAATTAAATGTTCGTAATTCACTAGAGCCTTCATTTTTGAACCAATTGGATTATTTTTATTTTTTTTATGGAAGCTTATAAAACTAGTAAGAGACCAGTTTAGCACGAATTTTGAAAGTGCAGAAAAAGTAGCCATTTTGAAGAATAACTATTCTCCTGTTCCAGTTAATAAATGTTACATCATAAAACCTAATTGAAAGCAATTGTTCCTCCAAAATGAAGAATAATTCACAAGAAAAATTTTAAATGTTATAAAAAAAAAGTTCACCAAAATTAAAAAAAAATTGAGTTTTTAGAAAAATTTTGGATATACAGTTTTATAGACCATTAAATTTTAGTATAATAAGTGCAAGCTGCAAGTGGCTAAGAGATTGCGTTGATTTTTAATCATTTTTTTTCGCTAACACTTCGACCACATCTGCGTGCGAAATGGGAAATAAATGCGTTTGTTTTATTATTGAAAATCAACGGGAATTCTTGCACCATGCTCTTTATTATAACAAAATTTAATGATCTTAACAGATCCCAATTTTTCTAGGAACCAAAAAAAATTAATTTTTGGTGAACATTTTTTATGACATTACAAATTTTTGTGTGACTTTTTTCATTTTGGGAGAACCAAGCAATTGTTTTCAACTGGTTTTTATTATGTAACATTTATATAAATTGCTACTTTTTCTACAGTTTGCACAAAAAAATTTAAAATAAAAATTCACAAATCAGATCAACTGAACACTTGCAAATTTTATAAGCTTTCATTAAAAAAAAAAAAACAAATGAGTGAAAAATTAAGGCTCCAATGAATTATGAACACTAAATGCCAGTTTTGAAACTCACGTGCAACACGTTCCGGGCCCAACTTTCCCGTTTCTTTTGAGAATTTTACTCAAAGTATGTATATTAATTTTTCTATCAGTATTAGCAATGATTCGTGATTTATAGATTGTACAAAGATTACCGATTAAATAACAACCCTTAAGAGAGGTGCGAAACAAACTGACGAAGGTTTTCGTTATATTTTAGAAGGGACATTTTATTATTTTATATTCGCTGTTGAAAAATTTACCTCTGAAAAATCCAGAGCTATTTAAAGGACAGATTAAGAAATAAAGGACAAAATGTGCCATTTATTTTGAAAAAAATTACAAAGGACAGAGGGTTAATATAAAGGACAGTCCTTTAAAATAAAGGACGGATGGTCACCGTAGGTATGCCGCACAATGGGATTACAGCGACAAAAACTAGTAAAAATCGACTAGCGAACTCTGAGAAAGCCTTATGTACTCAGATTGATAGCAAAATATCCAGCTAACCCGACTCAATTTTTTTTTTTTTATAAATATGCATATTTGCATTTCATGGGATAAGCTTAAAGATAAAAATAAATTTGTAACAAAAAATTTTGATTTTGTCGCAAGTATTTAATTGAAATTAATTTCTGTACTAGTGCATACATATACATAATAATAAGCCAATCTGATTGATGACCAGTTTTTTTTTTATACATCTGTGGGCGTTCTGAAATATGATATGGGCTGATGTACATATGTATGTGGTTATGTATGGATTACATTACATTAATTTTATTTCCATTCAATATAAAATGGAAAATGTGTAAACAAGTCAAGCTATAAATAAATCAAACCATAATATGTATGTTCGTAGCGTTCTAAATTTAAACGTCACATGAGATTGCCACTTATTCACTTCACCTACTCATCTAATCGTTGATTAATTTAGATACACATTAGGGTGCCCCTTAAAAGCATCAACATACATATATATTTTGTATGAGGCACCGCTTTATTTCGTTCCACGTAAAAAATAAAGACATCCGCGAAAA